GAACACTTTGGAAATATTGGAAAAAGAGCTTGTATTAAATTATTTAAAATACAAATAAAAACCAATGTATTATCTCAATTGATCTTGATATTTTAGACTGACCGGAGGCCGTATTTCTACACTGATGACAACTTCCTGTCAGACATTAACGTCATAAATACAAGCTAACCCGGGGTTTCCTAAACATTGCAACAAATGTATTGAAGGCAAACTCCTGACCAATAAGGTCGCACACATATCAATCAACACGACTTACAGCCCTGGAGAACGATTTTATATCGACCTCCAGGACTCACTACCCCCTAACAGAGATGGCAACGTGTTCCAGGTTTGGCGTCCACGCCAATCTCGCACACAAAGAAAACATGCTGTAAATGTCGATGGATATTACCAAGTTTCGAACTATGTTAAATAAACTAAATTACAATTAAAACCAGTTATGATTTAGCAGTGGTAGCTTGTGTAAGAATAATCAAGAATGCCTCTTGTTAAGAGCCTTGATATACTCTGTCGATTACACATGACGTCTCTAGCTGTTCTTTGTTGAATGATTTTCACTAGAAGTACAAAGTGTGCACAATAACCACATGCCTCAGTTGTAAATAAACATAATAACATAAAGTCACGTTAATACATAAGCTATTATAAATATAGTTCCACCTGAAGAAAGGAGTAAAAATGAGGAAAAACGCATAGCCTCTTAAATTAAACAAGGAGGCTATGGAAAAGACATATTATATTCTAGAGGTTGGCAAGAGGACCGAAATCTGTACGCATGATAGTAGTTCAGAGGTTATAAAATTGAGTTTGTACTATTCTACATGTCTCAAATAGGTCCAGGTAAGTGAGTCATACCCAATTCTCAGGCTATTGGAAGCATCAATTAAACCAATGTGATATCTCATTTGATCGACTTATATTATATTATTTAAATACAAATAGAAACCAATGTGTTATCTCATTTGATCTTGATATTTTATACTGACCGGAGGGCGTATTTCTTCAATGTATCATAATGTCCACGGGCTACTGATACATAGCCATACCTCTACGTCGGGTCCTCATCATCATAATCACAGACAACAAACCGGTCTTTCACAGTAACTCCGTGAAGTTATTACTCAATACAACCCGACACATATACATTCTTGCACCCTTTTTGTATACGCCGCAACAGAATGCGAAAGCAGAGCGATTACACGACACACTAAACAACCTTGCACGAGGCGGTCTCCTCGACACAGATATGCCCCTCACACTCTGGGGTTACGCCAAGGCCTTCGCTGACTACCTGAAAAACATAACCGTCACGGAGAGCATAAGACTCCGCACGCCCTACCACACATTCCATTAACGAGACCGCAAACTCAACTATGTCGTGGCATTTAAACTCTAAGGCCCATCAGCTAAGAAACACCCAAAATACCTTTCACCTGTAGGACATAGTATACTTTTGAGTGCCCGCTTTAATTCCGTGCCCAACTGCTACATCATACACATTTTTTTACTCAGATGTTAATCCCCGAATAGAATGCGCATGAACACTCATACTTCCATCTTTATATACAACTAGTACAGGTGAGTGGAAATGATTATCGCAAATGCGCAGACTGCTGGGTTTCTCCACTTCACTTGAGAAGCAAATGAAACACGCTTCTCTCCATTTCACAACTTAAAGATTGTGAATATCGCGTTTTGCTCGCTTTCCTTGGACGCCTGGTTGCTCTCTTGGAGGACATTGTTTTCATCTTTGGATTGCGAGATACACTAATTCTAGACCCGTCTCTTGTATCACCTTCATCGTAACGACAGATATCCCTTGTAGTGACATTAGTGGGCGGGCTGCTGGAGAGAGTTGGGTCTGGAGAGGTATGCGCAGATGGGAGGTGGCTGGAGAACAGAAGACTGGAGGTCCACCGTGGTAGGCCCGGATTGGAGTAGTTTCGTCGTCGGCGGCTGATAATAAGACAAAGTAAATTGGTCGAAAGTGAGGTGGTGCGGTGGAGGGCAGCCGTGTGTTTACCTTTGGTGATGATACACGTAGTAGTGCTTGCTGGGTAAACTAGTTGGTAGCCATTGTCCTGGATAAAGTATCTCATCTAAACCATACACAGACACATAGTATTATTATTCGTGCATGTTGTCAAGATGAGGTGGGTTACCAAATGTTACAATTCTATTGCACACCCCATATCTTTTAAGTATGTGGCCAACACCACGTAAAAGTGCTTGTCTAGTAATATATTTTTGCAATACAGAAATATATAATCACTATCATTACATATACAGTACAATACTATACAGTACCATACCGATACGCTGCAAGAAATATATCTGTTGATCTGCCCCATGTAGTGCCAGTAGGAATAGCATGCCGTTCTCAGCGAGCATAGACATAATCATCTTTGCTGCAATTAAATTATGGATACCTACTGCTGTTTTGCACTCTTTCTACAAACTATTCCCCTCTTCCTCCACGCCATTCTCCATAAACTCTTTAACCTTCGTTAATGCGGCTGTTCTCTTGATCGATCGTTGTGCATTGGCCTGCTTGCCACAAACACGCTTGACATAAAAAACGGGTAACACAAATTTGTTAGATTCCCAACACTTAATAACAACTAACATCCGCCATACATCATCCTTAAAGCGCTCATAGCAAGCACGCTTGTCTTTACCGCACACGGTTTTAGTAGCATACCTATTTATAGACTTATGTATTAATATAGACATGCCTATTGCAATATCAGCGTTTCCTATTAGATAATACTCCGCATGCACAAAGAGGTCATCCAGTATAGGCAAAAGATCGTCTACACCCATGTCTACTAACCTATGAACTAGCTTTATGCTATACTATGCAATATGCACACGCATAAGGCGCATATATGTGCATTTATTGTTATTTACTTCCAAATAATTTTTGGTAGAGAAGTACGTGCTGTAAAGTCGTTTGCTTATCTAGGGTTTAGGGTTATCAGTCAAATTATAGTGTGCCTGTCAAGTGTCAGCCTTCAGGTCTGAAAAAGCCAGCGTTTGTTTTCCACGCCTATTTGAGTAAAGATTTAATCCTATGCCCCGAATATTTGTTTTTTTAACCCCCTCCCCCCCGGCCCCCCGGGTTTGATACAAAAAAAATATACTTGATCCTTGTTGAATGTTGATACAGCCTGTTAACAATGTTTTTACTAAAAAAAGAAAAGAAAAATATATTTGTATACCGTTATCATAGCCACGACCCTCTGGAACAGCAATTTTAAATATTTGGAAACAGCAAGTCCACTCTCAGTCTTTTCTAAATAATAATATGTGGCACCCCCCCCCCCTTGACTGTGCTGCTGTACTCTGGGCTGCTCTTTGGAGTGCTGGTCTATTGTGGGGCCCTGGGCCCTGGACCCTTGGGCCTGGGGCCTGGGTCCCTGGCGGCCTGGCGGCCTCCCCCCTGCCCCCTGGCCGCCTATATGGGGTATGTAATTATGTAACTGGCCGACCGGCAGGCAGCAGCAGTATCAATTTGGGTTGAAAAAAGTAATTTCACTGTTGTTTTAAAGAAAAACAATATTCAACTGTATCTTTAAAATAAATAAATTTGTGTTTTTATTTAAAAAAAAACAATAATTTATAAACTACTGAACGTCTGAAGTCTGAACCTATTTTTAAATATTTATTTTAGCTATTTGCTATCACCTGCGGTATTCTTTTCAAAACAATTCCGAGATGCAACGTTTATCTGACAGATATGTGCAGTACATAGAATTTGATTAGGTTATACTATCCATTTTAAAACGTTGATGCACAAGATCTTTTAAAGTTGCAATTGCGATATGTGCGAGTCCTCTAGACTCCTATGAGTCAAATATGACCTAAATATATTACACTGTTCTACAGTAGACTACAACTATACATAGTACATTTTATAACAAAAAATGTACTCGCGCCCTGCCGCAATCTATTGTGCGACAGGTAAAAGCTCAAAACTGATATATGTTTGAAGAAAAAAACATGATGAGTAACAAATTGTATTAAATTTATCGTTGATTCGTTTTCACTAATCAGATTCTCCGACGGCCAGCGGGAGTCTGAAGCTTTTATTCATTTTTTATCAATGTTGTTGCAAAACTTGCAATGTTGTGACTTCTGAGTTCACAAATTGAAATTGGAGTGTGAAACTTCACAAAGAGTCCACAACAAATTGAAATCAGCACACGGAATCACGAAATAGAGGAATTGCTAGTATAATTTTTTTTTGCGAGTCTATCTCTGGACTCTGCACACACAGCACAAGAGAGAAGAGAGAATGAAAGTTCACTTTCAGGCATCATTCAGAGCCGGCTGAACAGCGAACATATCATCATTTTTGTGAAAAACATTTTAAAATATTATTGTGGTTTCTTTTTTGAAGGCTACATCATCATCACAAGTATATTTACTTTCTTTATCAAAATTGCACAATAACATATCTCCTGGCACACCACAATACACCCTATTATAGTATGAAATCTCAAAATGTATTCGTGCTCATTCACTTGCATTACTAGAGAGCCCATCTTCGCATATCCAAGATGGTCAGATTATACATGGCAACGGCCATAGCCTTGGCCTCTTTCGATATAGCAACAGCCTCACCTTTGCGACGCCAATTCTTCGGCGCACCAGTAGTTGGATGTACCACTGGGGATGCATGCACGGCGTCGGGCGGTAGCTCAATGTTTTTAAATGGAGTTTTGAGTTGCTGTCCTCTCGGGTGGACTATGAACACTGCACCCGACTGCACATGTACAGGAGCTCCAGTCGATCTACGCGTTTCCACTTCACCATCTAGAACGCCCTCACCGTCCACAACAATATCACTGACCCCAACTGCATCATCATCGGTCACACCCAGTGCGACCAATAGCGTGACACCATCGGTTTCGGAAACTGCATCCCCTTCTCCTACCCCCTCATTTTCGACATCGCCTACAGCTACATCAACGCCATCACCGTCACATTCGCCATCCGCTTCACAAACACCTTCGTCTTCGATAACACCGTCGCGGACAGCGTCCCCTACACAAACACCTTCGCGTACAAGCTCGCCATCGGCTTCACAAAAACTTTCACCTACGACAACACCGTCGCTGACAGCGTCCCCTACACAAACACCTTCGCTTACAAGCTCGCCATCGGCAAGTGCAACATCATCACCAACTGCGATGCCATCAATGACTATGGCGCCCACACAAACACCATCACAAACAACAACACCCTCAATCACAGCATCGGCTACACAGACACCTTCAGCTACACGCACACCAATACCTACGCAGACCCCCTCTACCTCAGCAGAGAGTAGTACAAGCCCCACTGCGAGCATGACTTTTGCACCATCTGCATCTGCATCAGTCAGCACTTCGCCCACCGCGTCACTATCCACCACACCTTCCAGTAGTGTTAGTGCAACGCCCACGGCAAGTGCAAGTCCCTCAATCACACCGTCGATATCTATAAGCCCAAGTGTCACTGCAATGCCGTCAAGGTCGCCCGGACCTGCCGAGTTTAGCTCGTGCCTACAGCCCAAGGCTGGTACTGTTGGGGTCTCTTTGGCCGACTGTAAAGCAGCAGGCTCCACATGCGTGAGTGATGGCAAAATAATGCTGGATGCTACCACAACAGCACGGTGTTATACTGCGTTTACGGGGGGCGTTATTGAAGTATTGCAAGGGTATGGTGGTGTTGTGCAGGCTCTGAGCGATGAATCCCATACAGCCGACACACAAGCGCAAGTAATAGTAAAGGAAGGGGCAGATTTCCTGGGCGTTTTCAACAATGGGGGTATGATACAAATGATCAACGCCAAGGTTGGTACGGTCAGATCGTACAGGGGTGTTACACTGGGGAGTGCTATCACAGTCGACCCTAACACACCGCTAGCAGTGGACGGAGGTACAGCTGAACTAGAGCTGACGAATGTGGCCAAGAGAGTGTTGGTAGGTGGCGGGGATGTTGTCCTTGGAATGATAGGTAATGCTACTACAGTCACGGTGACAGGCGGTGGGTTGACCCTACAACAGACAGGAGACACATTCTTGTTTGCAATGAATGGGGGCACAGCTTCTATGGCTCAGATAGGAACCATCAACAAACTGCGTGTAAATGGAGGGTCGGTGGAGTTTGGCACGGATCAAACCACAATCGAGGATGCGTCTGCCAATGATGGCGAGATTATCAACAGTGGCAACTCGGCCATACTGAGATACTTTGGTGACGCTGAATTGTGTGCTCTCAACTGTCCACAATCGGCTTAAAGTACCAAAGCTTGAGATGAAGCTCATGCACTACACGGACAATACAAATGTCTTTTTCCCAGTATACAACCGTAGGTTTGTATATGCACACGATGACTGCAAAATGGTATGTCTTCAGCAAGTCAGCAGATGTTGTATGAGTCGCACACAAAGTCAGGTGCACCACCACGCTGACCGCCCGATACCAAAACAAGAGTTGGGAACCAGGGCGAGCTTTTGTGAATCCGTTAGTAACGGAAGGAGTTGGGATTTGAGCCCGACATGAAAACGTAAATCAGATTTTTTTTGTGTGTGCAAGTGATAAAAAAAGACACTTACTCCGTTTCTATGATATAGTTTCAGTTACACGTCGTTAGTGAGCTAGTCAAAACATAAGTATATATCTTGTACAAAAAGCATATTTTACATACACTGACATGGTTCCTTCACAGTCAAATCCTCTTATAGATAACACAAAATCTAACTACCAGTACGCACACACATAAATATGCATGCACAAGCACTAACTATGCAAAACGCACTTCATGATAGATGTTAAGTAGTTCCGGCATATCTACAAGCACATCTTTTATTTACACCACCAGTCTAATTTGGCTCCTCAAACCTCCATGCACGTCATATGAGAGGTCGGTCTTGAAGCTCATCAAGGAATGTATCCATACAGTGTGCTGAAATGAGCGTCTAGTACATTCTTCGGCAACTACTGAGCTGTAGAGCAAACAAGACTTCAAGCACAATCTGCAGACGGCAGGCGATGTCCTTGAGACTACATTTTCCACATCCGTGCAGGTGATGCATTCACAAAGAAGGTCCAAATTGCAGATTAAGCTATTGACAATATCAAGCGTTATACCACAAAACTGCGCTGGTGTTTTGACGTGTGAGTACCATTGCTCGGTTCTACTGCATGAGGACCTCCAATCAACCGCGATAGGCATCACTCCGTGCACGAGCAGTGCAAAAGGCACAGTTACGTGCCCCGTTTCAATCTTCAAATGTACAGTGGAAGTGTACTAATCGCAGGATTTCGGTCTCTTACAAGTGAGCAAGACATCCACGGGCTCATCAGATCCGTCGCAACAGTCACACAGACCATCGCCCACCTGTGACGACCATATCGACGACTTCTTGTCGTGACATTCGAATTCTGCGGTAGGAGGGGTGGGGGGATGGTGGAGTGTTTAGAGAAGATACAATAATCGTTATAGAACTGCCACGTCCAATTGTCAGATGTCTATAGGTGCAACCGATAGTCTACGCAAACTTAATTGTAAGGTCGCGTCCAGTTTTCATCTGTTCTAAGGAAAGCCATGTGAAAACATACACCACCAAGTATAACACTGCTGCATATTTAGCAGACGAGACACCTTTATTAATTAAACAGGGCCGCTTGCACTCATTCACGCAAGCATCTGGCCGGTGAACTCACAGACTAACTAGAAGTAATATGCCCAGAATTTTATACTGACACACAAAGAGGTCACTCAAATACATCGTATATACGCGCATGGCTGCCAGCGGAAATGTACCAATCAAACAACAAACACTGAAAGCATTTTTTTTGCTGCGTACGCTATAGATATCCTAAGACGCCAATATATCATTCACAAGTACCCGAGCTATGTAAAGAAAATATATACATAGACACATACAGATAGACATACTTTGCGTCTTGGACCCACAAGCGTTCGTGTTGGGTTCGTCACTACCATCGTCGCAGTCACAGAAGTCGTCGTTGAACTGTTCTTTTGCCTGGTAAGTATCGCCATTTGCGCAACTGGGAGTAGGAAACGGGACGAGTGTTGTCAAGTGAGTTACTGGAATGGCTAAAGTATCGCACAATGGTCCCCGGGTTATCAGCTGTAGCACACGGGCGTATATATTAGCCATCAATTTCGTATTCGTGTAATATTCCGGACTGGTAGTGCCAAGACATAAAAATACCTGAAAGTCTGCAATTCAGAAACATCATATTTAAAGGTCATGAGTCCATCTTTATTTTCGGTTTTCACAGCCGGTTGTCCTCCTTGGTGCCTGTAGAGGTACACTGCATCTTTACTATCCGCTCCTATGTACTGCGGTTTGGTTGCATGCTGGAAGTAGTACTCGTGCGAAACATCCAGCGCATCGGCGTCGGGTTCCAGGCTGCAAGGGTTGCAAGCGTGATCGTAATAAGCTTAAACATCATAAACTGATTTGTTTCCTCGTTGCATCGAAACACGGGACTAACATTGAGGATTGCAGGACAAGATACAAATTGACCGAATGAGTGGGAATGCGGGTACCTGCGGTGTTTTATTTTTGCGGCTATAAAAAGAGTCGCGAGTTTGTTAGACTGGTTGAACAGTTCGCCAACTAGGCGAATAAACCTGGTTTTTATCGCAAAGCTGAAGAGTGAGGTGATACATAAACATTGATATCTGCTTCTGATTTGTTTTTGCATAAGATACGAAAACGATTAGTGCTTTAACAACTTTAGCTATGCCACAGACCCATGTACATCTTACATACGTGCATCTTTCGGTTGCATCGAATGGGTATCAACTCCAGCTAAGACTCTGTATATTGACTATACAGGTACTATGGGTGAACTTTCTAATGAGCAGCATTGTACAAATCTTTACACAGTACTATGAATGCATACAATACCAAAAAAACACCCAAATCATGTTCATGGATACAGATTCTCTCCCAAGTGCGTAAAATTTTCAGTAGTATTCACGAATTGTGAATTCATACCATAAAAATGAGTATGTATATGTGTACCTATAAGCACGAATGTAGTAAACGAAAACAAAAACTACAAAAAAAACCGCACATAAACATTCAACTGAAATATAAAATGATGGGAACACTGCATCAATATGTCAATACACATATACACATACTATACAAACACAAACACAGGCAAATACACTCAAACATAGACTAACAAAAAGATAATTATATATATATATATATAAATATATATCGCAAACACATATATATATTTATACCTATATATATATATATATATATACATATAGAAGCCTACTAAGGTAAAGAAATAGATGTAAATGAACATAGAAAAAGGAATACGAATACAAAAACAAAATAATAAACGTAAGATCTATATATATATATATATATACAATTATATATACATATACATATATATATATATAAATATAAACACACACAAACACACACACACACATGCACACGCACACGCACACGCACACCATATATATATATATAAATATAGAAATAACTAAAATAATACATATACACATATGCATACACACATACACACATATATATAACAATATAATAATAATATAAATATAAATATATATAACAGCACATATTTAAATGTACAGTTACATATATGCATATATCTATATCTATATCTACTTCTATATTTATATATATATATATATATACATACAAATGAATATGTATAAGTTTACATTTAGGTATATGTATCATATATACATGTATATATATACATACATACATATACAATAAAATATATATACGTACACACACACACATACACACATACACATAATGAGACACATTCATACACACATTTATACATACATACGTACAAATTTATACATACATAAAGACATACATACATACATACATACATTATATATATATATATAGATATATATATATATACATATTATATATATATATATACATATATATATATGTATAGATATATAGATATTTACTAAAACATAAAAATACAGAAATATTGTATATATACAAACATATATCTATACATACATACATTCAAACATATAATATAGTATATAATAATAAGAATAATAAGGATATATCCTATATAATAATAAATATATACATATATAAGTATATGTATATATGAATTTTTTAAAAGATGAATTTTTTTTTGAAAGATGAAAACTTAATATATATGCAAATTATGCTATATATATGTATATATACAAAAGAATAGTATAATAAAATATATACAATAAAATATAGAAACATATAGCAATTACGAAACATTGTAATAATAATAATAATCATACTCATACTCATAATATATATATATATATATACGGACACAGATACAGACAAAGGTAAGCATATATATATATATATATATAGATAGATATAGATATACTATTATACTAC